GGGGGGCGGGGGGGGCGGCGAGTTGTCCCCCACCCGGTTCTCAGGCCTGTCGGGAAGGAGCAAGGTTCTGGCTGACCTGGGAGCTGGGGAGCTGAGGGGACAGTGGGAGAAAAGGGGACAAACAGGGCAGGGAGGAGGCAGAGCGGGCATGGATTGCAACGGGTCCACCCAGAGTTGTGGGGTCCTGGGTTTCTTTTAACGTAGAGTTGCTTCAGATTTTAGTACCTGCCCAGGTCTGGCTGTCTCTGGAGGGCCCACTAAAGACAGGGGAGAGGGGCACCCTCCCCAAACCCCTGCAAACCCACACACGTCTTTTAGCAAAAGGTGGGCAAGAACAACCCAGGAAAGGGTAAGGCAAGCCCCTTGTTACATTGACTTCTTACCAGTTAATCCTGAACACAACTCCAGAAGACAGGTAGGTGTCATGACCAGGCTCTGAAAAGCCTGAAAGCTCGCTCGAGGTAATGGCAGGAGGGGACTGGAATACAGAACCGCGGCTCTTGGGTTCTAAAACCCATACTCGGGCCGCCCTGCTCAACTCCTTTCTTGGAAGGTCTCTTTCCTACCTCACCTTGGAGCTGTGGCCTGTGGGACACCCCTGTTGTTCTAACTTCTCTCTCCAGTGAAGCTTCCAGAGCCGGCCTGTTGGGTGTGGCTGGCTTTGGTTTCCTGACCAACAGGTAGTTCATTTTCAGCCTCTCCTTCCCCTGGGGAAGAAGATGTTCCCCAGCCCGTGCATGTTCTAGAAGAGACGCAGGAATGACCTGGCCCAACAGCCGTTTGTCCGATGACATCCCTCCCAGAACTGGATTTCCTTTGGCCCTCAGCCTTCCCCCTGTTTCTTTCTATCCCTGTGGGACAGCTTGATTCAGTGGAGGGCGCTGTGCCTCCTGGGTGCCTCAGGCCTCCCCCAAACAGCAAAGCCCACATGGGCTCTTTGGTTCCACCTGCTGGAGGTGCACCTTCAGGAGGGCAGGGGATGGGCATGGGCATGGGCTCGACCTTCCTCTTGGGAGTCACCTTCCTCGACCCACGCCCTCCCAGGCTCTGGCTCATTTCCTGAGCTCAGGGAACTCCCCAGACTTCATTCTTGTCCCAGGTGAGGAACATGGGTGAGCAATCAGGATGAGTTTGATCGGGGGCCCAGATGCCTTCCTGTCTCATCTTCTCTCGATTGTGACACAGATGTCAGCGAGATTGCCCACGGTGAAAGACACATAGGTGTCTGCTGGTGGGTTCCACACCCAGCTGCCACTGGGTGTTTGTGTGACACAAGTTAGTACTTCCCCTTCTTGGAGCCTCAGTTTCCCCAGCTGAGAGAGGGTTGGACGGGTCCTTCTAAGGGCTGTTCCAGCTCTGCTGGTCTGTGCTTCTATCCATGGGAGAAAGGTCACTATTTAGTTCCACTGAAATGCCACTCTGTGTGCTGGGTATCCCAAAGCCAGAGCTGCCTGACCTTGGACTTTGGGGCCCTTCTAGTGCAAGCTTGGTCCAAGGGGAAGTCCCTGGCCCAGGCTTACATCCTTGACAAAGGAGCCAGGTCTTCATGACACACAGTTAGAAAAAGACCTTCTACCACCAGAGGTCACAAGCTCAAATGCCTACAAGGGCAGCACATGTAACAAAAATGACTGAAGGGCCCGGCCGGGGGTGGCTCAGCGGTTGAGCGTCGACCTAGGATCCAGGAGATCAGGGTTCGATTCCCGGTCAGGGCACATGCCCGGTTGTGGGCTCGATCAATGACTCTCTCATCATGGATGTTTCTATCTCTGTCTCTCCCTCTCCTTTCCTCTCTCTGAAATAAATAAAGATATATTAAAAAAAAAAAAATGACTGAAGGGAGTCAGGTATGGACTCTGGGGCATTGCAAAGAGCATGTCCCGTCTAGGGGGCAACGCTGCCCTGCGGCAGCCAATTGTTGAAATGGTAAGGTATGCCCCATAAGTAACCAAAGACTGCATTTTCATGGGAAATCTGATTTTTAAATGTTGGTAACAAATTCATATTTTGAAATAACCTTCAAGATGCCAAATGAAATGTCACCCCCTGTGCTGCCTGTTTTGTTGGAGGGGAGGCGGGGTAAGAGCATGGGTTTTGGTGGCAGGTAGGCTTGGGGTCCAAGTCTGGCTTCACCAATTACCAGCAACATAGCCTTAGGCAGGCTACTGAACTTATCAGGGTCCCAGTTCCTTTAGCTAAAACCCTGGACATGACCACTGTGCCATTTTCATGATGGGAAGGTTCATGGAAAGCCCCAGAGCAGAAGGCCCTGAGAGTACTAGCACTGGGGATCATTGGCTATGCTCTGTCCTGTTTCCTTGAACTTAGACAGCTTAGTTTTTTGACTGAAGGTCTGCCCTTCAGGCCCAAGTTTGTCCTGTTGTCCTTGGTGTTTGTGCCAGCAGAGCAAGCAAGGGTGGGCTGGCCCTGGGGCATGAGGACTGATTCAGACTCTCCCGAATTCTCAGACTTGGAAAGAAAACTCAACACAGATTCTGAGAGGAACATGATCCCTCTGCGGCCTGAAGATTGATCACCCTCAGGCCTAGAAAGGGCTGGGGACTCTCTAACCTCACTGCCTCCCGTTACCTGTCAGGGGTCTCCATGTGCCTGGGGTAGGGATATGTAAATGAAGAGGACTCTGGGAGGGAGAATCCCTGGGTGACCCAGGGCTGTTGGAGGCCCAGAGGAGAGGGGATTCCTATGGAGGGCTGGAGGTTGGATTCAAGGAGAGCTTGGGGGCCCCTGCCTGGTGTTTGAGGCATCAGAATAGCTGAGTGGTTACGTGCTAGAGTTGGGAGTCCATGTGTATTCTTAGGCAAAGTACATGACCTCTCATGGCTTCCAAATCTGTGTCTGTGAAATGGGATTTAAAGACAGCACTTATGTGGTTATAAAAATTTGATGAGCTCATGCAAGCCTGGTGTCAGCACTGGTGAATGTTAACAGCTGTTTTGAGGTGGGGGGCCCATGTGCAGATGGACCCTGGTGTAGCTGGAGCATGGGGTCCGAAACACTTGTCAATTCTAGTATCTTTAAAACGTGCCGATGTCCCCGGCATGACTCTCCTGCCATGGTCTTCCCATCTAGGTTCCCTGATTACCCTGTACTGCTCCTCCCAGCAAGTCCTGTGCCAGATCATCGGTGACCTCAACCCCCAGACACCCAACAATGTCACCTCTAACAGCTGGCAGAAGTTCACCAAGACCTACAGCTTCTACGTCGGCCTGGGGCTGGCCATCCTGTCGAGCTTCCTCATCGGCAGCAGCGTCATCCTCAAGAAGAAAGGCCTCCAGCGTCTGGTGGCCTCGGGGGCCACACGAGCTGGTAGGCTCCTGGGGGGGGGAGGTGGAGATGGGGTGCTGGGCCACTGAACCCTCAGCCAGCCCTGTGAACCTCTCTTCACTGCAGCAGTTTGGGAGCCTGGACTCGAAGGGCACGAAAGGCTCACTGTCAACCCCATTGGGAATCCAGTCCACTGATAGGAGACTTTCGTTTATAATCCAGTATTTCCTGACAACCTCATCATCAGTTGATTGGGGTAAAGAGAGGGAATGGTCCCACGGCCAAGAGTCAGAAACCCCAGGTCTAGTCCTGGTTTTATTTCTTACCAGCTGTGTCGTCATAGACAAGTCACAACTTCCCTACAAAATGGGAATACAAATCCCTCTGCCTGGAACTACATCAGATGCTAGTAGGCCCTCACTTACTAGCAAATTGAGCCCCTTATGGGTTACAAAAGAATTGCTGAGTCTCTCTCTGCAGGGATTTGCTTGTTTGGAAAATAAGATGTGTATCCATGAAACATTTCTTGAGAAATGGAATCATGTGTAAAAGAATTTATTCCTTTAATCATCATTCATTGTGTACCTACTGTGTGCCGGGTGCGACGTTAGACATGGGCTGCAGTGCCCTCGTGGGACATTGAATGGAGTGGGAGAGACAGGCATGTCAGAAGGCAGTTGTTCCGCAGTGTGTTAAGTGCTATCATGGGGAAAATGGGGTGCTATGGCAATATTGTGGAGGGGCATGCGAAGCCCGGGCTTTGGGGTTAAGGGGGGATTTTCTTTAGAAGTGATCCAGAAGCTGAGACCTAAATAACGAGGAGATAGCAAGGGGAGGGGAAAAAGGGGGACATGGTGTTCCAGGCAGAAAGAACAGCGTGTGCAAAGGCTCAGAGGTGAGAGAGCACGAGTGATATTAGAAGCTGAATGTAGTTCGGAGCGGCTGGAGCGTGGCCGGGGAAGAGATGGTGTTGGGGCTGATCACGACAGGTCTCATAAACTGGGCTTCAGAACTCGAGCGTGGACGCAAGGGACCGAGAGGCTTTAGGCAGGGGAGGAACATAGTCTGATTTATGATGTGAGAAGATCCCCGGTGGCGGGTGGAGAGTGGATTAGGGACAAGTTGGAAGACCAGTTAGGGGACCTTTGGGGCTGGGAGAGAGCAGTGGGCATGGAGACAAGTGGTGGAGTCCAGTTTTGAAGGCAGAACTTACTGGGTTTGGTGTTGACTGGCTCCAAGGGGACAGTAAAAACGCGAGTCAAGAATGACGCAGCTTTAGGGTTCGAGCAACCGGGGAGATGAGGGTGCCTGTTTTGTGGGGTGAATAACTCGGGAGGGGCAGGTTTGTAGGAAGCTGATGTGCTCAAGCTGAGACATGTTAATTTTATTTTCTGCTATTTTAATACCTTCTAAGGTTTCAAACCTTAGAGTAAAATGCTTTCAGAGCTCTTACTTTTATGGGAGATTTTAACTCCTTTAGGAATCTAAAGACCTTCCTAGAAAAATGGGAATTCATAAAAAGTGACATGCGATTTTTGGATTTTCACAGAATTGTCTTTAAACCTAGCCATCACCATCATCATCATCATTGCTAATATTATTGAGTATTGACTATGGACAGGCTCTGAGACCATGTGAACAAAGCAGACACAATTCCTGGCTTCATGGAGCTTCCATTTGAGTGGGAGAAATGCCAGAAAATAAATAGATTGATTCACATTATAAATGATAAGTGTCAAGAAGAAGAGCTGGGTGAGATGACAGACGACCCCAAGGGGAAATAACAGAGGGAGAAAGGTCTCGGGGGTAGCATCACTCAAGCAGAGACCTGTAGAGCGAGTGTAGATTCAGGCAAATATCCTTAAGGAGACTATTCCGAACATGGAAAAGCACGTGCGGAGGTCTTCAGGCTGAAAAGACCTCATCGTTTTTGAAGAACTGAACGGAAACCTGCGCAGCTAGATTGTAGTATACGCGTGACAGGAGCAGGGTCAGAACTATGAACGGGCTTGCTAAGGATTCTGGTCTTTATCTTGGGAGTATTTGGAAGCCATTGGCCAGCCATAAACTGAGGCATGACAATCATAGGCCACTGGCTGCTACAAAAAGGAATGGATTACAATGAGGCGAGGGAAGAACTGGAGCAGGCTATTGCCTCAGCCCAGGCCAGAGGTGATGATAGTCCCCTGGAGTTGGGTGGTGGCCGTAGAGTGGACACCTGTGAGATGCTTTTTGGAGATGGAATCAGCAGGATGGACTGGAAGCAGAAGGTGGAGGAGTTGGAGGAGTCAGTTGTTTCTGGCTTAAGCAACTAGGTACATGGTCCATAGGTGCCAATCACTGAGTTTCATTTGGTGGGTGGATGGGGAGCCTTTAAAAATCAAGAGTTCCATTTAGGACAGAATTTGGGATGCCTGTGAGAGATCCAAGAGATGTCAAATAAGCAAGTGGATATGTATCTGGGCTCAGAAGAAAGGATCAGGGCATATGCATGAAACAGGGACACTAGCACATAGATGGTATTTAAAAATTGGGGAATGGATGAACTCACCCAGGAGAGGGCCCAGAAGCAAGGCCAGAGCTAACCAAGCTAACATGTACTGAACCCTTAGAGATTGTGGAGTGAAGGGAGAGAGAGAAAAGGTGCCGAAGAGCCCTTTTGGCTCAGTGGTTAGAGCATCAGCCCGAGGACTGAAAGGTCTAGGGTTCGATTCTGGCCAAGGGCACATACCTTCAGTTGCAGGCTTGATCCCCAGCCCTGGTCGGGGCAAGTGCTGGAGGCAGCCAAATTGATGTGTTTCTCTCGCATCAATGTTTCTCTCTCTTTCTCTCTCTCTGAAAAGCAATGGGAAAAATATCCTCAGGTGAGAATTGAAAAAATGAAGAAAAGGTGCCGGAGAGAGTGTGGCCGAGCTCTAACTTGTGTCTGTTTCTTCCTACAGTGGACGGAGGCTATGGCTACCTAAAGGACGCGATGTGGTGGGCTGGGTTCCTCACAAGTGAGTAGGGTCTTTGCTACTAATGACAGTGACCTAGTGATGTCAGAGGCAGAGATGAAAGGAAGGGTGGATGGGGCATTTCTGTCTCTAGTGTTCAAAATATGGATGTGAGGCACAGATTTTTAGGGGGAAACCTGATAGTCTTTGAAGGTAGAACATCCTACCTGTATCTCAGACCATTTTCTCAACCCAAAGTCAGTTTTTCATCCATGAAGCATCTGTCCCCAGAGAGGTTTGTACAGAGCTGATCATGATAAAGGTGCAATTTCTCAACTTCCCCTGAAACAAGGGGGCTGTTGATGGCTCTTGGACTTCTCCATGGCAGAAGCTGGGGCTCCTGAGCCAACTCCCCCATTCCACAGGCAATTTGTGGGCTCACTTAGAACCTGGCTGGCCTGCCACTTAAGGTTTGCCCAAATTTGCACATTTACACCACTTTCCACCCACCCTCTCTGGCTTTCAAACCCTAATTCTTTCAGATGGAAACTTAGCTAGCTTTCCATTTATAATTCCCTACGTCAGGTTTTTATTCCAGTCTTAGAGCAATCACATTTATCATCTGCTTTCAAAGGGCAGACCCAGTCATTCTCTTTCAGCAGAGACAGAAGAGGCATTTGCAGGAGTCTGCAAACTGGCAACTCAGATGGGGAGAATTGGGCCCTTTGGGAGAATTGGGAGAATATCAGACTTTCTAACCACCTGCTTATCTGTTGTAAACTGCCCACAGTTCCTTCGGGAAAAATGACTCTCTGGACCAGTTGGTACCTGGAGAATTAATAACTACAACTGTTTCTTTATTGGATAATTAATACTTTTTAGAACTTACCTTAAAGATACAGACCAAATATTGGCAGTCCCTTAACCGTGCGTGGACTAGAAGAAGCCAAGAGACCTCAACAACAAGACGTCTACCCACAACCATGTCATGTTACCTTGAACTCTGGGCCAGCTTCCCCATCTTTAAATTGGAAGGTTTTGATTAGGATGATCTAGGCCTGGCCTTCTGATCAGATTCTCTGGGAGAGAGCATAGGGACCAGGATTTTAAGAATTGCTAGTCTGGGATACTGTGAACGGTCGAACACTGAATGAAGCCGTCTCTACCCAGGTTCACCGGGGCTGGAGATGGGGCGCTGGAGCCACACTAGCCTCTTTTCTCCCTTAATTTCCTAGTGGGTGCTGGAGAAGTCGCCAACTTCGGGGCCTACGCGTTTGCTCCTGCGACAGTCATCACACCTCTGGGAGCACTGAGTGTCCTCATCAGGTTATTGTCACCTCTCTTGCTTTCTCTGGCTCTTTCCTATTTTCAGTTTGTTGAGGTCTGGAACTGCCAAGTGGCATCAACTGCCACTTGCGATCAGGGACATGGGTCGGTCCCAGCTCCCAGAAAGAGGCGATGTGCTGTTCAGAGCTCTGGCTCCTGGAATTGCTTGCTGCCGGTTGCTCTAGCATCCCCTCAATTTGCCAGGCAATGGAGGGGCAGGCCAAGCCCAAACCCATGGGGAGAGCTTCCACTTCCACCAGTCTGAATGTCTCATGTCAATGTTTCGGTGCCCCAATAGGAGAAGCTTATAAGTGAGAAGCATGAACCTGAGATGGAACACTCCCTGAGTTCTCACCTTAGCTCTGCCACTTAGTAGTTATGTTACCATGTGCCAGTCACTTAACCTCTTTAAGCTCAGTTTCCCCACCTGTTAAATGCTAATAACGCGTACCTGAAGGCATTGCCACAAGGACTAAATGAGATAATGCACAGAAAGCTCATAGACTGGCATTGAAGAATGACCATAGCTAACATATATGAAGGGCTTACTATGTGCTAAATGTGCCAAATGTAATCATGTATTAATTCATTTAATCTTGACAGCATCCCTACTAATTAGAAAGCAGAGGAGACCTGGGGCTGAGAGAGGTTAAGCAACTCAGCCAAGGTCACCCAGGTCGTAAGAGGCTAGGCCAGGATCCTCACACAACAGTCTAATGTCAGAGTCTGGGTGCTTAGCCACTGTGCTGTGGTGTTGCCTAGCAAACATTATCTAGTTTTAAAATAACTGATCCTAAATGTGTGTGCTTCCCATTGGCCCATTCCTCCCGAGCTACAAACATAGCTCCTTGTAGGGGTCCCGAAGCCCCATTTGAAGCTGCCTCGAATTGGCTTAACCTTGGAGCCCTGGTAAATTCTGGCCAACCACGCCCAGTATCCATAATTTCCTATTTCGTTTTACATTCTCGATGACAATTTTGCAACGTTTACGCAGTCAAAAAACAACAACAAACAGAGCCGTGACGCATCTTGCACAGTTGGCTGATGTAGCAGTGTTACCCCGTGACTGCTTATCTGATTAGTTTACAAATTCCCACCCGTGGGAAGTCGGGAGAGTCTGGAGTCCTCCACTGTGTGACCTCTGCCTACGCGAACGTCACCAGGCCCTCTTGAATGGGCCACATGGGTAAAATGTTTTTGGTAGTTTTAGAGGAGAGATGGGAGACATCCAGAGGAGGTTGGACATCAATCCTCTCTCATTGGGCCCTAGGTCAGATAACAGATTTTTACCATAAACTAATGCTACCTTTGTGAAGAAACAAAAGCGTGCCCCAGCAATTATACCCATCTTGCCCGATTTCCCTCCCTTTCTCCCTCACCTCTGCTGGCCCATCTGGAAGATGTGAGGGGAATGAAAATTATATCATCTAGGAACAGCAAGGAAGTGGAGGTGCTTTGCCAGAAAAGAAAGAGAAGACTCACGGAAGCCACGAGAATTCTCTTCAGTGATGAGCAGAGGCAAAACCACAGGCTTTACAGTGAGACAGAACTGGAGCTCAAATCCTGGCTTGTCTACTAACCAGTCATATGACCTTGCCAGTAGTTTTAACTTCTATGAGACTCAGTTTTCTCATCTATAAAATGGGGATAGCATATTTTACTTCTCAAAAAGTTGTGAGATGCTAATGAGATAATAGAAAGTCCCTAGTGTAACACATAGTACATAATAGAGGCCTGAGACGCAGTGCCTATAATTGTGAGTGTGGTTGTTTATATTGTTATCTACACAAGGAAGAAGGAATAGATTTGTTCTTATGGCTCAGAGAATAGAAATGAAATAATGAGTACAAATTACCATAGTTTCGGTGTACAATTAAAATGAACTTACAATGGATTCATTTACCTTGTGAAGGGGTGAGCTGCTTGCCACCAGAGGTATACAATTCAAGGCTGAAAGCTGTCTGTTTACGATGTTAAGAGAAGACGTGCTCCTTGGGTAGGAAGTTAACAAGAGTGCTTTGAAGGGCTCTTCCAACTCTTCTGTTTTGGAAAACTTTCAGTCCCTAAAAATGAAAGAAGTCCCCATGTATGTCCGTTCCACCAGCACACACGGTAACCCTCGCGTCAGTAAGGGTGCGGGGGGCTGGAAAAGCTCCCCTGTGAGAGAGGAGTGCGTCCTGATCTGCGGATCTCTGGGGGCACTTGCTCAGACCCCGTCTCTCTCCGGGGCGCTGGCACAGGCCCGGCTGCCTCATCTCCCCCTCCCCTCCCCGCCCGCAGTGCCGTCCTCTCCTCCTATGTCCTGGGAGAGAGCCTGAACCTGCTGGGAAAGCTGGGCTGTGTGATCTGCGTGACGGGCAGCACGGTGATGGTGATACACGCCCCCGAGGAGGAGAAGGTCACCACTGTCGTTGAGATGGCGGCCAAGATGAAGGACACAGGTAGGCGCCGAGCAGGGCCGAGCAGGAAGGGGCTGGGCCGTGAGCGGAGCCTCGCAGCTGCTGCCACCTGGGGAAGGCCAGCTGAAGAAAGCTGGGGGGCTGCCAGGTGTCGGGGCCACTTACTGAGGGTTAGTATGCGCCAGGCACTGTTCCGAATGCCTTACCTGCCTTGTCTTCGTCAGTTCGGGCTGCACCCCAGAATACCATAGACTGGCTGGCTTATAAACCAGAAATTTACTTCTCACAATTCTGGAGGCTGGAAGTCCATGATCAAGGTGCCAGCAGACTGTGTGTCTGGTGAAAGCTCGCTTCCCGATTCGTACACAACCATCTTCCTACTGTGTCCCAGGTGGCGGAGGGAGCTCTCGGGTCCCTTTTATAAGGATACTAATCCCATCCGAGAGGGCTCCACCCCGCATGACCCTGTCACCAACCAAAGGCCCCACCTCCAAATACCCGCACATTGGGGGTTAGGTGGACACATTCAGCCTTTTTTTTTTAATGTTTTTATTGATTTGAGAGAGAGAGGAAAGGGGAGGGAGATTTAGAAACATCGATGAGCAAGACACATCAACATCAATCGGCTGCCTCCTGCACCCCCCTACTGGGCATCGAGCCCACAGCCCTGGCATATGCCCTGACGGGGGGGGGGTCCAACCGGTGACCTCTCGGTGCGCCCGTCACCAACGGGGTGACACATCCAGTCCTGCAGCATACGTTATCTCGTTTAATCCTGCAAAGAGAGCTCAGTGCGGAAGGTCTTGCCGTGAGCCTTGTTTTACAAACGAGGAAGCCGTGGTCTCAGGGCTCATCTGCCTGCCTCTCCCCCTGAAGGGTACATCGTGTTCGCTGTGCTGCTGCTGGTGTCCTGCCTCATCCTCATCTTCGTCATCGCCCCCCGTTACGGACAAAGGAACATCCTCGTGTACATCGTCATCTGCTCCGTGATCGGCGCCTTCTCGGTGTCCGCCGTCAAGGGCCTGGGCATCACCATCAAGAACTTCTTCCAGGGGCTGCCGGTGGTGCGGCACCCGCTGCCCTACATCCTGTCCCTCATCCTGGCGCTCTCGCTCAGCACTCAGGTCAACTTCCTCAACCGGGCGCTGGACATTTTCAACACCTCCCTGGTGTTCCCCATATACTACGTGTTCTTCACCACGATCGTGGTCACCTCCTCCATGATCCTCTTCAAGGAGTGGCACAGCATGTCTGCCGTGGACATTGTGGGCACCCTGTCTGGCTTTGTCACCATCATCCTGGGTGTGTTCATGCTTCATGCTTTCAAGGACCTGGACATGAGCCAGACGCGCTTGCCCCACATGCACAAGACCCCCACCCCTGCCCCCGCCCCCGAGCCCACTGTCATTAGACTCGAAGACAAGAACGTCCTTGTGGACAATATAGAGCTGTCCAGCACCCCGTCGCCAGAAGAAAAGCCCAAAGTGTTTACCGTCCATTCTTAAGGCTCAGGACCGAGGTGTGAGGACGAGCCCCGTGGCACAGCCTGGCTTCTCGGTTTCGGAGCCACCTGGTTATTCTCAGCATGACTGTTACCAGTGGGCCCTCTTTTCTGAGACGCTCGTTTATACCTCATCACTGTTTCCAGGAGAGGAATCCCTACCCAGCCGGTGGTGGGGGCACAGCCTCCTGGAAACACAGCCTCAGTGACTAGACACCCCACTCGCATTGTTGCCAGCGGTCCCCTGGACCTCCCCTCCCACGTGTTTCCTCGGCGCCCTCTGTGTGTTGTTGGGAAGACAGAACCTGACCCGTTGAATGTAGCGCGGCCTAAGGACGTCCCTGAGATGCTGGTGTCGGGAAGTCCTCAGCACCCGCCCCCCAAGACTGATGGCCTGCAGCTGGCTCGGAGGCTGGGAGCGGGTCACCGCACCGCCCCATCCGGAGCCCANGAAGACAGAACCTGACCCGTTGAATGTAGCGCGGCCTAAGGACGTCCCTGAGATGCTGGTGTCGGGAAGTCCTCAGCACCCGCCCCCCAAGACTGATGGCCTGCAGCTGGCTCGGAGGCTGGGAGCGGGTCCCGCGCCGCCCCATCCGGAGCCCACACACGCAGCTGATGACAGGCGCCTCGCTGCTTTCTCCGCTTCCCTCTGGAGACAGAAGCAGGACCTCAGCTGACCTTCTTACTGTGAGTCACCTGGTGTCTCAGGGAAACATTTGCACCAGCCCCACCCCCAAGCACTCCAGCCGGCGGTCAGCATCTTCGATCCCATGGACTACCCCCCATGCCCACCTCTTCCCTCTGTCCATACATCCTCAGGAGTCAGTCGCTGAGATACTCAGGCAGTTCTCTCAGGACTCAAAACAAAGCGACAACCACAACAAAAGATGCTTTGTGGCCCAGCTCTGCTGGTCAAACCCAGTGTTTCATTTTGCCTCAGAGAACAGCAGTTGCATGGCTCTTAAAAGTACCTCGTTGGACTGTTTATTAGCAGATGTGCTTCTCTTTTCCCAAGGATTAACCAAAATAAGATTTGGGGAGATGGGGAGAGTGACGCACAAAGTCGGGATTTGGCAGGAAGCAGCCTCCAGCTCTACAGAAACCAGGAGCTAACTTTTGTGTTTACTCTGGTGCCAACCAAGACCCCAGGCCGAGAGGACTCTGGGTAATTTCTGGGCTCCAGCCTTAGATGCTTGGCCAGTGGGACCAGCTTTGAACTTCAGTGACCAAGTGGGGCATAGGCTGGCACGGGTACATTCTGGCTGTTGACCAGATTGCCACCAAGCCCCCAGCTCGACTGATGAGCTGCCCACCCTGGGAAGTAGCATGTCTTGATGCTCCAACACCACCTGCTTTGGGGACTGCCTTTGGTCCCCTCACATTTGGCCAGAGGCATTCAAAAAACAAGAGCAGCTGGAGAGAGAAAGTGATACCCTTCCCTTTGAGTCTCCTTTCCAGCTTCAGGAGTGTGGGAGTTGGTATAGGACCATCAGAAGGAAAGGAAGGGAGCCAAGTATCCACAAAGAGGGAAGGCCTGGTCCTCAGCCCGCAGGTTGGGGTGGTGCCTCCCTGTATAGCTCCACACCTGCGCCCTGTGTTTACAGACCAGCCCCTAAGTGCACCAAGCCCAGGCCACGTTCTTGTTGGCCTTGGAGCTGCAAAGGTTCAGCTGACCAACAGGCTGGCTTCCTGCACCTCCAGCCTCAAACCCCCAGTTCCTGATGAATGTGGATTTCTGTCTGTAACGAAAATCAATGCAACACGTTAGATCTTGAGAAGAGCCGTGATCTGAGGGCCCTGAGAGTGTGGTCTGCAGGGTCAAGAATAAAGACCTTCGGGTGTGTTTACTTTATACTTGCGTCTTAACCTTCCTTGGACACGGAACCATTACCCTGGCTCCTCTAGTGCTGGGAAGCCGGTCCCTGATCTCTGGAGGGTGTGGCTTCCAAGGAAGTCCCTACAGTGGTTTTCAACGGTGCTCACTAGAGTAGGAAGGGCTGTCTTGGGAACAGAGTCAGTGTTTGACACTCATCCCTTGTTAACGCCCGAGCCCTTACTAGAATCCTCACTTGCGCTAAGAGCTTTACGTAAATCCTCCCTTTAAGTCCTCAAAAATCCCCAAGGTGGATTTGTTTTTATCATTTTATATATGAGGAAAGGGTCTCAGGGAGGTTAAGGAATCACCCAAGGCCACACAGCCAGGAAGAGTCCACGTTGATATCNTCTCAGGGAGGTTAAGGAATCACCCAAGGCCACACAGCCAGGAAGAGTCCACATTATATGNCTTGCGCTAAGAGCTTTACGTAAATCCTCCCTTTAAGTCCTCAAAAATCCCCAAGGTGGATTTGTTTTTATCATTTTATATATGAGGAAAGGGTCTCAGGGAGGTTAAGGAATCACCCAAGGCCACACAGCCAGGAAGAGTCCACGTTGATATCTGGCTCCAAGCCTCGTCTTAACCATGGGGCACAGTCTGATATACTCTGTGCATTTCTCCCGTGACCTGTGCTGTCACCTGATGAGAGCTGCCTGTGGTTCCCCTCCTCAGAGCGCAGGGCGATCCCATGGAAGTCCTAACACGTAGCTGGCATTCATAAATACATGTATCGAAGGAACAGTACCATTCCCAATAGTCCTTCTTTGCCCAAACTCTCTTGGGGGCCAGCTCTCAACCCAGAACAGATCCTAATCGAACCCAGACGTGTTGAGCAGAGCGACTCTAACACGGATGTGGTTCCTGAGCATGCGGCCCGTGCCAGCCGCAGCGGGCGCGCTCCCATAGGGCACTTTGCTGATGACCACGGCGCTTCCGAGGCAGGTGTTATCCCGCTTGTATTGAAAGGAGACTCAACTCTGGGACTTATCTGCTTTCACACATCTAGGAAGCAGCGGAGGCAGAATTTGAACCCAGGACTGTGCAGCCAAGCTCTGTGTTCTATGCTGCTGGCCAGTCTGTGACTGTCAACAGAGGGACACGGGTTGGTTTAGTTGATGGTCAGGCAGGCACGGGTATTTGGTGGCAGGTGACTTCAGGAGCAGGCATTTTAGTTGTCGGGGCATTTGTGTTTGCCGCCTTTGATGTCCTTAGGCAAACTCAATACTAAGAAAAGTTAGCAAAGTAGGATCAGATACCAAGGACCCATCCCAGGGCTGCCATGGAGATGAAATGAGATCAAGTAGCACTCAGAGCCTCGCATGGGTTAAGTACTCAGTAAACGTTAGCTGCTGTCACAGTTACGATGATTCCGTCTTAGAGAACCTCAAAACTGAAGAGAGAATCAAGTGAGAGAACGAGGGTGGGGTCCTTTTACGCGCTGGGAAGCACTAATGGATGAACTGTCATCCCACCGGGCTCTGGAGTGAGGAAGTGCAGTCACCCCCAGCCCCAGCCCCAGCCCCGGCTCTGCTCTGCGCCTGCCCGCAGAGTCCATCCAGCCCGCAGACCTCGGGCAAGTCCCCTCTTTGAAGTGCAGGATCCCTAGCAATTAGGAGAACGGAGGGTCTCAGCTGCCTCCTAAAGGCATATCAGGGAATCCCAGGATCATTCATGCCTTAGTGACCCAAGACCTAATTAAACTAGCCAGCCTATGTCCAAATTCAAAGAGATACTGCCCCTTGGACTGGTCCGGAGAAACCCAAGGCTTCTGTACAGTTCAGGTGCTTCCCTTATGGTCTGATGACTGATGGTCTCTGTGGGCACTACTCTCCTTCTGAGGACCCTCACGCGACAGATCCTCTCCAGGCTGAGCAGGACGTTAAAACAAACAGAGTTGCCAAACCAGACATTTCAAATGACAATTTTAATTAAATACAAACAAGGGCAAAAGGCACCATGGCCCATTCAAGTAATTTTGCATAGATGTACAAATACTGTAAACAATTAATAGGTGGACGAGAAGATGATGATCTGTTTTCCATGAACAATCTCCCAAATAAAAGAAAATTCACATTGCCTTGGTTCCCAGACACACACACACACACACACACAGTGGATGGTGTGAGAGGATGGGGGGATGGGTAAGTTTGGGGGCACTTGGCTTTGATTCTGCAGGACCCCTCTTAGCACCTTTCCAGTTGCCATTCCCTTGGAGTTCGTGGGTGTCCAGCAGAGTTGTTATACACGCAGTTAACACAATCACTGACTTGAACTGGTCCCCAATTTAAATATGCAGGCCTTCCCTCCGCTCTGCCAAATACCAAATTTGGACATAGGTAAGGGGAGGTTTTATTCAAAAGGATTATTGCAAGAGATGGCAAGGCAATAGGGCTAAGGGGCGACTGCAATCCCATGAGATCTGTAAGCGTCTCGGAGCTGGGGCAGAAAGGGGTTTTTCTTTTATTGGGAGAAGTAAACAAGGCTAAAGGGAACCCAGGGCAAGCAGGTAGTTCCGACTTGGAGCCCGGTGCCTGGGCTGAAGTTCCCACTGAGACAGGCACGGAGCCAGGCGCTATCTCCCTGAGGTCCCCTGAGGTTTACATTTCAGAGATGGCTCCCAGGCTCGTAAGGAAAACATTTCCCGGGTTGTAAAACTGGCAGAAGGCTATAAATTAGCTTTAAAAAAGATTTATATATATCTCCATCTGAACAAAGCGCTGGTTAACTCACTCTACCAAACCTTAGTTAAGCTCCTCTCCTCCCCATGACTCTGAACCTGGACCCACCCTCAGCCTGAGCCAACATACAGCCCCTCCCGCAAAAGGCTCAGCACAAAGATGTTCCCTGAATGTGCCTTTCTCCCCAAGTTCACTCCTCCCTATAAACTTAAAGGCTTTTCTTCTTTCTGAGCATTCTCCTTACTGCAACAGTCTTCTGCCCCTACACAACATTCCCTTTCCCCATCTTGCAGCAATCCTTTCAAATAAAGACCCCCCCTTCCTTAAGTGTGGATTCAACTTTGTCACCTCAAAGCAGCACATGGGCACGGGGAGGGGGGAAAGGGGCACTGCATGGCCGGTCTTGCTCCTGGGCAACCACCTGGGCCGGCCAGAGTGGCAACGCCCGGCTTCCTGAACAGAGCCTGGAGTGAAACAGTAAATAGAACCGGCTGCCAAAAGTCTCTATCAAATTTTAAAAATTCAACCATCTTCCAGTTCACAGTACAATTTTATGGGGGTAGAGGTGGTATTAAAATAATGGGGGAGGGGGAACAAGAAAGCAACCACCCAGATCTCTTTGGGTTGTGGTTCCAGGGAGAGTGGATTTCAGGTTCAAAAGGCTCAAGCAGCCGAATGGATGTGGCATTTCCCTAGAGCCATCTACCTCCTGGTGTGAGGGAGAAAAGCTGGACAAGCCGCAGGGGCATCGTGAGCTGCGGAAGTGGCTTTAAGGGCGCTTTGTTTTTGCGAGGCTTGTTTTCATCTTTACTTCTGGGACCCAGCACTGAGGCCTGGGACAGGTGCAGTAGCACACTTCAATGGCAGGCTGTCCCCTGACTTAATCGACAGCAAGGCAGGTAGAGATTAGCTATGGGGGGGCAACAGGGCGTGTGTCAGGGAGACGGGGGTGTGAACATCACTACTACCTGAGGGAAAAGAACCCCATTCTCCTGAGATCTTTCTAAATCCACCCAGTGTGTGTCCCCGGGTGCAGATCCTAAATCTCCCACTTGTCTACAAACCCTAGAACATCTACTGAGCACCTGTTTTGTGCAGGGAACTGTAAGAGGGGTCGCGAGTGGTGGCTGGGAGTGAAAGCTCAAGTCTCTTCCTTGCACTGAGGTTTTCAAGAGCACCTTTCTGGGGGTGGGAGACAGTCCCAGAGAACGAACATTCAGCGACAAGTTGTCTGATTTAGCACAGCACCACACAGCCCTCCGTCCATGCTCCAGGGAGGGCAGGAGCCTCTGGAGCAGCATCCCCCCCGCTGCTCCGAGTCCTGTTCCTATGGGTAAGGGCAGTGACCAGAGAGAACACAAGGAAGTAGGGCGTAAACAGTCTGGCTGGCCCCAGCTCAGACTCTGTTCCTTCGCGACTGCTGCTTCTCTAAGGACCTCCAGAGACAGGCTGGCTCTGCTCTGAGGGCAGCGGCCCAGCCTCAGGTTGGTGACCAGGCCTAGGCATAGGCTGGGGTTCCTAGGACGTCTGCTCCCTCGGTCACTGCACCCGCTGTGGTCCCTGGGGACGTTGCTTAGATTTAGGTCAGGGAGTCGGGGGTGGAGGGTTGGGGGGAGAGACACTCACCCTCTGCTGAGGTCATAAAACACAATGGAAAATGAAGCCACGACCCTCACAGCCATGAGCTGAGTCCACTTTGGCCAACACCTTTGAGATCCAATGGAGCCAACCCCTGAGGCAGGACCTTGTCATGCAGGTCACAAGCACCAGATCCCCAGGAAGTCAGGACTTCTGAGGGTCCCCTCTCGCAGCACCACATACTGGGTGGGTCCAAGCGGGAAAGGAGAGATCAGAAGCGTGGGGCATTTGGGAAGCGCAGAAGAGAAAACAAGGGCAACCAAGAATTATCGGGAGCCAGGAGTCGAAACCTTTGGCATTAGGGCTCAGAGGAGGCCTGGTGCTCCCCCTGCTGTCTACACTGCCTACAAATAGTACCTGTCTGAGTCAGAGAGACCCGTGAAGTAAGGGGATGTGGGGACGTGGGAGGGGTGGAGAGGGACTGGATCTGTTCGCATGTGGATGCAGAGCCAGAAGCTGTGACCACAACCAAGCCCCAGGCAGGGATGCAGCAGTGGCTGGTTCGACCCCTCAATCTCAGAGCTACAGAGGATGGGTAAGCGCCCAGCCTCTGCCTAACCTGGGACCTTCGTGGAAGACAGAAGCGATGGAAAGCTCTCATGCACACCCTCCACCACAGGACGAGGGTGGATGGCTTCTCCAAGCTAAGGCCTGGCCTGAGGAGCCAAAGGGCACTTTTCCCAGCCAGGCTCCTCAACTCAGACAGCCCGGGCCACGGGCACCTCTGAGGTGAGGGGCCGGGTGAAGGGAGGGTGGAGGAGAAGCTGCCGCTCCTTCTCTCCTGCGTCCCCTCTCCTCCCAGGCTGTATATTGCACAAAACAACACTTGGATGCCACTGGACAGTGGTCCCTCTGGGCCTCCGAGAGGCTGGGGAGGCAATGAGTCAAGAAGGAGATTTTCGGAGATGTGGTAGTTCCAAGAGGAGGGGAGGAGGGGCTCAGAGGCGGCCAGACAGGCCTCTTCAAGATTGTGGGGTTCAGAGTCCTCCGGGAAAGGGAGCAGCCCCTCAGAAAGGTCTAGATTCTTGAGTTGGTCATCCACCCAGGCCTCTGCGATCTGTAGTCAGGAAACTGGGGAAGGAAAGAGAGGGAGGGAGAGAGGCATCAGCCAGCTGCTTGCAGATCGGGGAGCTGTCCTCTGGGTTTTGACAGGTGGGACGGGTGACAGCAGGTCAGCTACAGGAACGGTTTCCCGTGAAAGTCTGTGACATCAACCCCAGATGGTGGTGCCCCACCCCAAGCTGACAAGCCATCTTCCTTCCTCCCCTGAAAGCTGCAGCTCAGTCCACAGGTTTCCCAGGGCCTTCTGGGAACACGGAGTCAGCCAACCCCCTCACCGCCCCTGTGCCCCGACTCCCAGGACTGGCAGCCGGAGAACATGCTGGTTCAGGGGACAGGGAATAGGTGTCATTTGTGCACATCCTACCACAGGCCGGCAGGTGACCTAAGTTAACTGCCTTGACTGTCATAGCAGCCTGAGGGGCTGCTTCTCACTGACTCTTTCCAGGAAAGGAAACAGACTCAGGAGGGTGACTTGCTCAGGGCCACCCGGCTAGTCCGTAGCAGATCCAGGTACGGAGCTGTCATAGCTCGGCTCCTAAGCATCACCTTTCACATGAAACAAAAAAACCTTTCACTCATTTAAGGGACAGTCCTTGGCCTTTGTTCTGGAAGTTCAGCTCTACAGGAAGCATGGACTCAGTCTTTTTTCTCAGCCAGTCTCGGCCCCTGGAGCCCTCTGACTTCAGCCTTTACCTCAAGGGCTTCCGCAGACTCACCTTCGGGGCAGGTGCTATCAGAAGCTGGGAATGCTGAGAGGCAGCGGCAGTGGGTGGCAGTAAGGCGACATTGCCGAGCCTGGAGAGGTTCTTGCGGCCTGGCACCGGGTTAGCTGGGAGTGCCTTCTGAGGAGGACGAGGCCTGGAGATATCCTGGGGAGAAAGCCACAGACTCACTCAGAGCCCAGAGGGGCCTGTTCAAAAGAAAATGTTCCCAATATAACTGCAGATCAGAATCAGATGAGAAAAGGGATGTGCTATACTGTACGGTCCCATTTAAAAAGAAACTGCGCGTATGTGTTTTAATGCTCAGGAAAAAGCCTTTGGAGAGCAAGTTGGCAGAACCTATTAAATTAGCAATAACCATCCTCTGATCTAATCCTTCCACCTCCCAATACCCACGTTAGAGAACTACCTGCACAGGCACACAGAAGTGCAATGACAAGGACTGTTTGTGACAGCAAAAGAAACTAAATAACCATAATCTCCATCAGTAGACAAATTAGTAAATTTAACAGTGACATAGACAGAATGCAACATCTAAAAAGAATGAAACAGGCTGACATGTGCTGATGTGGAGTCACTGAGAACTGACGTACAAACTACAGGGGAGAGTTCACGTAAAATAAGCCCCATGGCCCTCTCACCCCGTCCCCAACGTAAATACAACCGTGGGGAAGAAAGTCAGGAAGGACACACACCAGAGTGATAACAGAGGTTAGGGATGGGGTGCGAGTGCAGAGGGGGGACGCCCAGGGGAACGTGTAATTTTTTCAATGAGAGGATACACATATGTGTATTCCCTGTGCCAATAAAAATACAACTGAAATATGACTAATTGGCCGTGGTGGGGCACAATGAACAGGAATTCTGTCCTCTCTGCTTCTGCATCACCTTCTCACTAGGCCTAACCTGACCACCTTATTTAAAATTACAACACCCCGCCCCAATGCGCCTCCGCCCCAACCTACTGCTCAGTGCCTTGGGGTGAGGCCGACACCCTCCTCACTCAACAAGCCTCCAGCGTGGGGGCCTCAGGCACAGTGGCGTGACTGGACTGCTGTCGCCATCTCTCCGCCAGCACCTCTGTTCTCCCTTCAGCCCGTCTCCATGCGCCACTTTCTCCCCTCTTGCTCCCTTTCTCTCCTTCCCTCTGTTTTTTTTCCTTGTTTTTTTAAAATATATCTTTATTGATTTCAGAGAGAGGAAGGGAGAGGGAGAGAGAGAGTCGTTGATCGGCTGCCTCCTGCACGCCCCCGACTGGGGATCGAGCCCGCAACCCGGGCATGTGCCCTGATCGGGAATCAAACTGAGATCTCCTGGATCCTAGGTCGATGCTCAACCGCTGAGCCACGCCTGGCCTGGCTTCTTCCCTCTGTTATGGGCTGAACTGTGACCCCTTAAATCCATACGTTGCAGCCCCAACCTCTAAGACCTCAGGATGGAACTGTGTTTGGAGACAGGGCCTTTAAATAAGTGATTAAGTTAAAAATGAGGCCCTAATCCAAACTGATTGGGGTCCTTAGAAGAGGAAATCTGGACACAGAGGGAGACATGGGGGCACACATGCATGAAGGAAGGACCGTCTGAGGACACGGGAGAAGCCAAGGAGGAAGGCCTCGGCCAATACGTCTACTGACACCTTGATCTTGGACTTGTAGCCTCCAGATTGTGAGAAAATAAATTTCTGTTGTTTAGGCCACTCAGTCCATGGCGTTTGTTGTGGCCGCCTGGGCAGACTATTGCTCGGACCCTGTTCCCTGTCTCCCTCCCCCACCCCTCCCCTCTCTGCCAGCCCTTCCCCTCCCTTTCCTCACAGTTTCTCCCATCGGCCTTGCCCCAGATGAGGGGAACACGGGAAAGCAGAAGCTCCACCTTATCAGAGAACCAAACCCAACGCTCTCGGCGCTGCCAAACCGACACTGCCCGTGTCCCAGGGGCCCTCCGAGACCTGGTGCCAACACCAGGCCTTAGGTTCGGAGACAGTGGAGCCCTCTGGACGGTGCCCAAGAAAAGCAGTCCCAGGAGAAAAATAAACAAGTCCCTCACTCCACGGTGGGGTCACACCCAAAATACAGTTTGGCTCGGGAAGGCATGAGGCCCGGCCACTGCCCAGGAAACATCTGCTTCTGTGCTTGGGAACTTCTGCCAGGAGGTACAGTTGGAGCGGTCAGAGCGCAGACGCGCTGGTAAACAGGCAGCTGGGCAGCGCTGCTCTGCTCCCAAGGAGCCCTGGCGGTGGGGGTACAGCCTAGACCCCCCTCGCACCCCCGGGAGCCTCCTGCCCCTGCCCGGCCCCCAGTGAGCAAGGCAGCACAGTACATCCCTCCTCGGGCTGCCTGACCAGTGGAAGGGACCAACAGGGACAATCTGGTGGGATAATTACTGAGAGGGGAGAAGTACGGGGCCACGGAACTCAAGCTCTGAGGCTCATAGGTTTCCTGGGAGAGGTGACATCTAAGAGGAGACCTGAGGACGAAGAGGAGCTGGGCATTTGAAAGGAAGTGTATCAGGCCGAGGAAACAGCGTTTGCAAAGGCCTAGAGAAGAGAAGACCAAGGGGAGCTGGGAGAAGTTAATTTTGGGTGGGATGTGGGTCGTGGCTTGCCATAAAATAGGCCACCCAGGGAGGAGGCAACCCTCTGCAGTTCAGGGGCTTCCCCATACCCTTCCCTCTTCCCCTATAACTACCAGAATGCAGAAAAGGCACGCAGATCAGACTCAGCGAGTTCCATCTTCCCAGCTTTGGTCATGCCCATTGCCGGTGGCCTTAAAAGAAATGGCCCCAGCCCAGGGTTTCTGAGCATCCACTTACCTGGGAGAGTATGCAATTTGGTGCAGGGGGCATTGGACGGTTTGGGGGAGGCCTCCTGGGTGACTCCTTCCTCTCTACTTGGGGCCCGGCCCCTGGGGGGTTCCTAGGAGGCCTGATGAGTTGTGCTGGCAATGGCACGGGTGCGGGCCCGCCATGCAGGTGGTCCAGAGGGGGCCGAGGAGGAGGCTGGGGGGGCTTCCGTGGGGTTTCAGGGGTGTTGGCCACCTGTATGCACAAGACAAGGAATGTCTAAGACAAAGGAACCCTCAATGCACTTAAAAACTCAGGGTGCCCTTGTGAGATGACCAGAGGTGGAGGGAGAACAGGGTGACTTGTTAAATCTCTGGGATCCCAGAGGTCAGATGCAACCTTTAAAGTGACTAGGGGTTTTTATTATCATTTTCACAGACCACAGAGGCTCTTAGGAAAATCCAGTAGGGTCCTGATGATAAAAAGTAGCAAAGTTCAAGGTGCAAAGCCCTTACCTTGCGCTTGCCCTGGGGGGTCTGTAACTTGAATGTTGGGTTGGCATGGCCAGTTCCACTGCTCTGAGACACCCTGAAGGGACAACTAATAACAAGGAATCGGGGAGGAAAAGGGGGGTGATCACCAAGGGTCAGTGCCTGAGTTCCCTCTGACCCAAGCACAGCCAGTAAAGAGCTAATCTTCCCTAGTCTGCTCTGGAGGAAGTGGAATTGGTCCCCCTGAACCCCAGCTCCCCAGGTATGCAGCCACTGGAGACTCCCAGGGAAAAAGAGCTGGGCTTAACCAGAGCAGAGTTTTCCTCAGCACCTTCTCTTCACCCGTTTAAGACCTTTCTTCCCCAAGGAGACCCAAGGATGTCATCAGCCGTCAACTAATCCCCCTTAGGCATCGATTCAGAAGGACCTGGGATGTCAAATCCCCTCCAGGACAAGTGTAATTTCATATGGAACTTGGAGACTAGACATCTTCAACATCCCAAAGAACAAATAGCTTAAAAATAAACTTAGTCTTTGTCTTGAGTTGATGTCCTGCCACCCCTGTGAGTGTCTTGGACTAGTTATTCTTTCTCTGTTACCTCAGTTTCCTGCTCTTTAAAATGGGAAGCAAATCAATTAAAGGGTGGAAAGTAGAGTTCTTCAACTTGAATTGGTTGGGGCGATTCTGCTGAGAAGGATCCTAAGTGATGACCAGGCTCAGCAGAGAATACTCTTAGCAAGATCAACTAGTAATATCTGCCACGGTTGGAGCGTGGTCGAGGGGAGAGGGTGGCGTGCACCTTGCATTGGCCTTCCCTGAATCAGACCCACCACCCCACCACCCACCTTTCCACCCGGTACTGCTGACAGAAAGCTCTATGATCCGCTATGGTCCCACAGTCCTCCAGGGCAATGGTCCCATAGTCCTCCAGGGCAATGGTCCCATAGTCCTCCAGGGCACCCCCTGCTACCTGAACTGCTGCCTCAGCTTGGAGGGAAGGGCGAAGGGCTTGAGCTGGCCCAGCCGGCCGTTGTCCTGTCTGCAGCAGTAGTACATCAGCACGAGCACCGCCAGCACAGAGAGGGTGGAGCACACTCCGGCCAGCACAGGGCCTGCGCCTGCAGAACAGAGCCCCGGTGAGAGACGGAGACGCTGCCTGGGCCACCACAGTGGGCTCCAAACAGCACGTCCTAATTCTTCTTCAGATATCTGACCCACATTTAATGTGTATTACTTAACTTAAAAATTACAATAAAGATATCTTTTAAAAAGCTTGGAAGCCAAAGGGCTAGAATCCTTGAGATTTCCAGTAAAAAAAAAATCTGTAAATTTTTCTAAGTGTCTGGTTCTCCATTTTAAGCTTTGCTTACCCAAGAGGATCTAAACCACTAGAATGTGCCCCAGGTTCAAGATCATGTTTAAGTGGCTGAGGAGGACTGGCTGCCACCCCACTCCACCAGCAAAAGGATGAGATCATTCAGTAACCTATGGCCTGTCTCAACGTGTCTCTCTCTAAGGGGGTTCACTCTCTTCAGCAGAAAGGACAGAGGAAGGGCAACTGAGCTGAGCCCCACACCGAGCTGTCAGCCTCTGCGGCCCCACTCGGACCCTCTTTTCTTATTCCCTCATCTACAAAATCAGGACCATGAAGCTGATGCATTATCCCTCTGCAACATGCCACCTGCCCCGATGGTGCCAACGCCTCATCACAAAGGTGGGCAGAAGCCCCAAGCAGGCCAGGCACTCACCCTCGGGGGGCATGGGCCCGCTGTCGAAGCTGCCCCCGTGGCCCGGCGAGTCGCAGTAGGGCGGGGCCCAGCCGGGGAAGCAGTGGCAGTTCTGGTTGTTGTTGCAGACCTGGAGTGAGGGCAGGGCAGAGGTGTCAGCACCCTGGAGAGCTCCGGCCTCCCGCGGGGCCTGCACCCAGCACACCAGCAGGAGTCCAGAACCCGGGGCACACGTACCCCATGGCCATTGCACTTCCTCCTGCAGTCTTCTGTTTCAAAGAACGAGGTGTTCCTGCACTGCCCCTCGAAGCAAATCTGCAGTGAGGAGGAAAACGAACCGTCAGCACAGCCAAAGGGACACTCACTGCTTAACAATCAGAACAACCGGGACTCAAAAATACAGGCCACTTCAGGTTATTTATCACAGTGAAAATCTGAAAACCAAAAAAGCCAGCGACTGGACAGTAGTTAACTAAATTCCACCACTGCTTTTGTAATTGGTGAGAAAACAAATATATTGTCAAAACATTATATGTAATAATGTAATAAATGTATTATTACATCCAATGTTATTATATGTTGGTTACATGTTACTTAATTGTATATTAATATGCACTAATTTTAATATTAAACTTAAAAATAACACGATGGTGACAGCAGTCTACTCTGTGCCAGGTGCTATGCCAAGTGCTTTATATGTTTTTTTAAGTAATTTGCCTCTCGTAGTTAACTCTGAGATGGGTACCACTATTTCCCCCAGGCTGCCCTGGCTCTTTGTCTCGTCCATCTCTTGATCCACATGATGTATGTTAGTGATGAAGACAAAAGTGATGACGGTAAGAGCTAGACCGTCGAGGCGCAGAGATACTGGGCCAGCTGGGATCTGAGCCCAGGCATCCTCCCTCCAGAGCTCACGCTCCTCGGTCACAGCCCAGTCCCTGAGTGAAGCTGGAGGAAGGAACTCACATGGTTGTAGCCACACTTGGTCCCGGTCATCACGAGGCCTGGGTCCAGCATGTCACCCTCCTCCTCGGGACTTCGGTAGACGTGGGTGCCCCGACATCGGATCTCCCTCCCGTTTATGATGATGGTGGTGTCGATGGGCACCGCGTTGGACTCCAGGGGCTGGGCCTCAGAGCTCTGACACTGGATCTTCCCACATTTGGCATCTCTGGGCCCAAGAGAGAGGGAGAGAAGGAGGTGGAGTCAGAGGCAGGGGAAGAGCTGGGGCACGGAAGAGCTAGTTGTTCTTGACCAGGGCAGCAGGCATTCAAGCCTGGGGAAGGGGCAAAGGGGCAACGGGGCAATGGGCATGCTCTAGGGACCCAAGAGAGACCTTCCCCCACCATGGACTTAGACAAAGGGAAGGAAATAGAGTCCTTGTCCCCAAGCAGGTCCAGGCCAGAGGGCTGGCCTTTGGAAGGCCTCCTTACTGCAAGGACAGTGGCTGGAACTGAGAAACCTGCCCCTCATCACCTCACACCCCAGGCGCTGCAGCCAGAAGCCTGCTGTCCCCCCAGACTCCCCTTCCTCCCTCCCTCACTCTTGGGTTCAAGCAACTTTTAGGCCCTGCCAGTCCCCCCTCTCTTTAGTGACCCTAATTCACATCCATCTCTCTCATCTGGACACCAGGACACTGATTTCTCTGCCTCCTGTCTTGCCCCATCGCAAGCTAATTTCCAAACTGCTCTCACACCAAAGTCCACACTCTCTCAGCCATGCCACCCAAGACTTTGGTGGTCTGGTCCCTGCTTCCCTATCTAGCCTTACGTCTAAGCAGCCCCTTCTCCACCGCACCCCAACATTATACTTTATATCGAACTGTTATCAGTTCTCCTGACCCCAAGTTTTTCTCTTCTCGCCCCTCTGTCTGAGACACTCCCCCACATACCAGCACCATTCCCCACCCTATTCAACTAGACAATTTGTCCAGATCTCAAGTGAGGCATAACTTCCTTTGGGAAACCATCTCCACCCACTAAGACCATGTCCATTATCAACACGACGTTGTTAACTGAAAGTTCCATATACTCAGCATAGTGTCGGGCACGTGGCAAACCCTCGATAGAGAGTGGACAGGGTAGATGGTTGGCTGGAATGAATGAATGAATGAATGAATGAGCTAATGAATGATGGGGTATTCAGATGAGGGTACACTGAGCACCCTGCAGAAATGACGCAAGCAGGCTGACTCCCTGCCTCGCTGTAAGGTCCCCAAAGGAAGGCTGATCAGCTTTCTGGGAAGCATTGCCATCCACACCCTCCGACTTCCGTCGGGCTGAATGGGGCATGGTCCAACAACAGTCCTGGAGGGGGTGACTGGCGCCGAATGATTTATTTAAAGGCCCAGCTCTGGGGCCAGCTGAGCTGGCTGGGAGTGAGAAGTGAGGAGGGCACAGCAGGAATTGCTCTGTTACCCCTCATCTCACGGGGTCGGCCCTACGGTCATCACCTCATGTCGCACTTCTTGTGCTTCCCATTCATGTCCTTCCCACAGTTTCCATAGATGTCCCCTGCCACGTTCACCTTCTCGAAGCAGAGATCGGGAGCAGGCCGGGCTCCTGAGTGGGCAAGAAACACTTATCAGTACACTAGCCAACTTGAGAAGAAGTCAGAAGCCTCCAAAGGGCAAAGCTAGTCCTTGGTAAAGCGTCAAGGTTCAGAAAGCGTTTGGGGAGAGGATCCTTGGCCTTTTCTTCCTGTACCTCTATCAGGTCATTCCATTCCTACCCACAGAAAAGCTTTTACATCTGTTCTTTATACTTTACTGAGGCTTTCTACCTGTGGGTTTGTATGTTAAGCCTTCTCTCTAATAAAGAAGCCCTGTCCTTTTTGGGGATTTTTAAAAATAAGTAATACATGTGCAAAATTTTAAAGAAATAAACTATGTCTTGGGAATTTTTCTAATTAGCCATTCCAGTTCTTACTTCCCTACAACCTGGAGAAGGAATCACAATTAACAATATATCTTCTACAGATAACTCTGTATCTTCCAGATACAATTCTTCTGTATCTTTTAGAGATAATGTATCTAATAAAGAACGACAGCATATTCTATTCACTGCTCTGCATCTTGCACTGTTCACTTAACTCATTGTGGGAGATGATTTTATTCAGTACACACTGAGCTGCCCTCTTTTGCTCAGCTGCATCGTGGTCCACTATACGGATGCACCAGAATTCATTTCATTGGTCCCTATGCATGTACAGGTTGTTGTTGCTATCACTAACAATGCTGCAATGATTATCGTTGTGAATGCATCTTCACATACATGTTCCAGTGCAGTGGAAGATACATTCCTAAGTAGTAGAATGCATGCATCCAATGACTAGTGCATTTAAAATTTTCATATCTCCAAGTTACTCTCCACAGGGGTTGTACCTATCTGATTCCCCGCACCCTCCACATCACTATATTATTATTGCTCTTGTGGTCGTTATAGTATTATTATTATTATTACTACTGCATTACATAAACTCTTCAGTCTGCCAATCTGATACATGAACAATCCCGTCCTACAGTAATATCTTGCTTTCATGTACTATGAGTAGGGGTAAACATCCTCTCATAGCTAAGGGTCACTTGCATTTCCTTTTCTATCTCCATCCTTGGCCCACTGTTCTTCTGGATTACTCTTATCCATTCACCCACTCTGAGAACTTACAGCATGGAGGGACTGGGAGGAACACAGTCCACTGCCTCTCCCTGAAAGTCTACCCTGACCCAAGGGTAGCATCTGGAGATGCTGTTTTGAAGCCAAGGTTCTATGCTCAGCAGAGGTGGGGCAAGAGGAGGGCTGTTAGCACTGGCTCACTTACCAGGACCCCACAGCTGCTGGCACTGCCCCTGGTAGGTGAGGCACATGCCGTTGTAGCAGTAGGCCTGGCCACCCTCACAGGGGGTGCCGTCCATCTGGTAGAAGTTGGTGGGACAGTGGGGAGACTTGCCCGTGCAGAACTCAGGGAGGTCGCACTGCCGTGCCTGCTGGCGGCACAGTGTGCCAGGGGCCTGCAGCTGAGCCGAGCAAAAGAGGAAAACATCAATCTCCTCTCGCCCCCAAGCCTCCCAGGGAGGGCTCGTGAGCATCGCTTGTGCGGAACAGAATTCCCATTGCCGTTATTTCACATGACCTCATTGGTTCAAACCATCATTAACCTTCTAATATGAACCGTGACTTAGAGTTTTCCAGGTGTTTTCACAAATGTGAACTCACTTCCTCCCATAAGAAGTAGGGAAGAAATAATATTTATGCAACAGTTTACAGCTGACTAAGCACTTCAGTAGTAACAGCTACTCGTATGGAGCTCCCGCCTAAGTGCCCAATACAAATATTACTTCATTTAGTTTCCATGATAGTTTTATGTAATGATTACCCCTAGTTTACAGACATGAGGCAGAAGGGGTTAAGGAATGTATCCAAATACATTTACTCATGGTGAGTAAATGGCAAAAAAAAACACAGGCCCACTAACACACACACACACACGTGCATATATTATAAACTCACATATGCAGATATACAGGCCCATTCACACATACACATCCAGATTATGTATATACACATTTCCCCCAAACATCTACATGTACACGCACGTGTGCTCATTACGTGTTCCCGGGGGTCCCGGCTCCATGTTTCTGAACCTGAGGCCCTCTCTTCCCCAAGGCGGAGGCTGCATCCGGTGCACCACCCCGACAGCAGTTCTGTTAAGTCAGAGCCCTGGGCACAGGAAAGGGCCACTTACCTTACAGTGGTGACAGCAGGCGCCGTGGGCACACTCCGCCCCTTCTCTCAGGGTGCAGTTAGAGGCGTTGCAGCAGGGGTTGTCACATTCCTGGGGGGGCAGTGGGAGTGGGCGTGAGCCTCTGGGGCGGCAGGGAGACGGGAGTCTGGGCAGGGGCAGGGCTTCACCCACCTCTCCCATCTCCCCACCCCTGCCCCACATGCCCCCTGGCGCCTGGGCTCCCTAGGAAGCCTTTACCAAAAAAGTCACTAATCGCTAAGGTAATATGTATTTATTG